GCGTGGCCCACTGGGAGCAAACAGTGGCGTCAGCATCAGCAGCAGGGGCAGGAGAGGTGCCAGAGGTGATGTCAAAGAGAGAGACACTGTCTGCCCTATCGCACTGTAAGAACAGCTGCAGGTCATCTACCCAGACGTCAAAGTCAATGGCTCGACCCTCAGCGTCAAAAGCAAGGACACTAGGGGTAGCCATGACCACAGTAGACTAGCAGTGCAAACAGTAGGGTGAGGGCAGTGCAGTGAAAGAGGCACTGTGCTTACCGGACGGGGCAGCTCGGGCGGCTCGGCGGTAGGGCGGCGCGGAGGCTCGGTGGCTCGGCTACTGGGCGGCTGGGCGTCTCGGCTGCAGTGCGGCTCGGCTGCCCGGCTGCTCGGCTGTACGGCGGCTTGGCTGCTGTGCGGCTCGGCTGCAGGGCGGCTCGGCTGCTCGGCTGCTGGGCGGCTCGGCGGCTCGGCTGTCCGGCTGCTCGGTTGCCCGGGCGGCTCAACGGTGCCGCTGCAGGGCGGCGCGGCGGTCAGCTGCTCGGCTGGCGGGCGGCGCTGTAGCCGGTGACGGGGCCGCATGTAAGGACGGCGGGGCCGGAAGTGAAGGGCGACGGGGCCGTAGTTGAGGGCAGCGGGGCCGCAGGTAAGGGCGGTGGGGCCGCAGGTAAGGGCGGCGGGGCCGTTGGTAAGGGCGGCGAGGCCGCTAGTACGAGCGGCGGGGCCGTTAGGAGACGGCGGCGGGGCCGCAGGGAAGGGCGACGGGCCGCAGGTGAGGGCGGCGGGGCCGTTTAAAGGGACGGCGGGGCCGCTGAGAAGGGCGGCAACGGGCCGCTGCAAGGGCGGGGACGGGCCGCTGCAAGGGCGGCGACGAGGCCGCTGGTGAAAGGGCGGCGGATCGGGGCCGCAAGGGCGGCTGATCGGGGCCGCGAGAGGCCGCTAGGGCGGCGCGACGCGGCCGTTAGGGCGGCGTGACGCGACCGTAGGGCAGCGCGACGGGGCCGCGAAGGGGCCTAAGGGGCCGCAAGGGTCGGCGCGACAGGCCGTGAGGAGGCCGCTAAGGGCGACGCGACCGTAAGATGAGCACACAGGGCGCGACTCGGGCTTAAGAGGAGCGCGCTCCGGGCAGGAAAAAAAAATCGTAGTGGTGGGCCCTAGGAATCGTTCCCGTTAGGGAACCTGCTCGATACCATGAGAAGAAACGAGAATGAATGAACTATGAATGAAGTGGGTACAAGTACCAACCCTAATTGGGTTGTACCCCCTATGGGATACCCCACTACAGCCTACACAAAAGCATAAGCTATAATGTTCTGACACAAAGAGCAGATTGACCGGTCCTAGAAGAAAGCGGGAAGAAGACATGTTATGCAGAAAGCGCGGTATCGAGGTGTCGACGAGTCGTGGGGCGCAGAGCTAGCAAAACCAATCTCACAACCCCACATTCAAAAAAGATATGGGAAATAGATTCTGTCAGAATCCCAACCACTAGACCATTGGGATAGAAGGGCTTGTTTGTGTAGCGGGTGAGTGCGCCCATAACCCCCCAGGCCAACGTGCCTATAATCCTTCCCTATGATCAATCGGGGATCACTAGTGGACCTCTGACACCCCCCTGCACTGGGATGCCCGAAGTGCACACACTGGGATTCGAACCCAAGACCTTCGCTCTGATACCATGTCAGAATCCCAACCACTAGACCATTGGGATAGAAGGGCTTGTTTGTGTAGCGGGTGAGTACGCCCATAACCCCCCAGGCCAACGTGCCTGTAACCCTTCCCTAGGATCAATCGGGAATCACTAGTGGACCTCTGACAGATTCCACACACCCGGAGTCACAAGAAGAGCAGATGCCACGATCAGCTGCCTTGGTGAAGCACAATCCTGACGGAAGCGAACGAATGTAGAACCGGAATAGGAGGTCCTTCTGAAGGCTAGGTTGGTCACGTAGGAATGCGTGGGACAGGTCCGGGAAAAGAGGAGGAGGAGGAGGGCATGAGAGAGCCGCTATCCACAGGATATCATGGTTAAGAGGTTGCCGATGGTATAGCCTGTTAAATAGTAATGTGTAAGAACATTACTGTGCACTCCCGACCGCAACTAAGGAAGCATGCAGTATCGAGAACGAATATGAAGAGTCGGAATTGACTCGAAGCGTCAGACGGTTGGCGTGCATCTGGACCGTCGGAGCAGACGACATCGGCAAATTGCAGGCAGGAGGATGTTGTCGGGAACAGGTTCATAACTTTACGCGCCGCACGGTTGGGAATAAATTTGAATAAGGGAATGTACCCCTTAGAGTACATGGCTAGCTAGGTCGATTCATATTCTCCTGTACTCTTATTCATATCACTGTATTTGCATGTTTTAATTCATCTCAAGCATTTTACATTCACTCTGCTAATGAGGTCAAGGGCCCACCTAGTCTACTTATCTGCGTGCGAACCTTCCCAAGGAGATCCTGGCAGCGTTCATCTTCTGATCCCAGCATGGTAGCGGCTTGGGAATCCTTCGCATTGCCACTCCTGAAAATTACGACATTCGGAAAGTGGCGTCCGGCACACGCTCGCTGTCAGAATAAGCAGGCAAGAATGAATGCACTAGGAAAGTGTTGGGTACAAGAATGAAACCCTAAGAGGGGTTGTACCCCATATTGGCTACCCCACTACAGCCTACACATATATAACATACATATAATTTGACACACCCCCATAGGCAAAGTGGGGGAGAGCAAGAGGTCACAAGACCAATCAAGCAAAGCAAGCTCAGGGTGGATAATGACGTCACCACACACACTGAGCACACGCAAAGGGGCCACAAGGCCAGTTCACATACAAAGGTCTATATGCGACAACAGCAGCATAGTGATCTCTACCTAGCAGAGCAAGCATGCAGGTATATATGTAGATCACGGTACAGGCAAAGTCTTTAGTAAGTGAGGAAACGTGGGCACAAGGCCTAACAAAGTACAAAAACGCTGATGATCACCAGACGGAAGTGCCTTGGTGAATATATGAGCACTGTTGGCCCGAATGGCCACGTGAGAAAAATGAAGCTGACCACGCTGCTGCAACTCTCGAGCAAGGAAGTAACGCAGAGCTATGTGCTTCATTCTATGCTCCACTCTGTGCTCCTGACACAAGGCAATGGTGGCCTTATTGTGTACGTACAGAACTAGAGGAGAACGAGGCCGCTCTCCCAAGTGGGTCAGCAGGTAGGTGAGCCAGCGTAACTCCTATGCAGCCATGGCTGTGGCGTAGATCTCAGCCTCACAACTGGAGCCGAGAACAGAAGACGAGCGTGTAGACCGCCAAGAAATAGAGCAAGAGCCAAGACTAAAGGTGTAACCCTATGACGACCGCTGCGTAGCTTGGTTGTCAACCCAAGACGCGTTCGAGTGCCCAGTGAGGACAGCGTCGCCCCGTCCTCCAAGCACGAGCCCCAGGCCCGATGTACTGCACAAGAAGCGCAGTACCCTCTTAGCAGCATCCAATGGCTACCTTTTGGTGTCTACCAGGAGCCACGTAGCGAGCCAGAAGGCCAAGAGGGTACGTAAGGTCAAGAAGAGTGCAGGACATCAGATACATGAGGCAGCCAACTAGCTCTGGGTAAGGACCACTCGGCTCTACGGACTCGTCTGAAGGTGGAGCTGAGAGCGAGTGACCCGTAGCCAGAGGAGTGGCCTGTGCCGAGGACCAGGTGAAGCCGAAGCGCTGAAGGACCTGCCGCACCATATGTGACTGAGTCGGTGTGATGGTGCGGCGTGCTCTGTCCAAGGTGATCTACAAGCCATGGTAGCTGCGCAACTCACCCAAGTCTGTGCATGTTTGTCTCTTTTGCAGCTCCGACTTCACCAGGGCGAGAGCCTCAGTGTCAGCAGTGGCAAAGACCAACTCGTCGACGTACACAAGGATGTAGAACGGCGGCAGCGAAGTGTCGGTGCGTAGAAACAGCGACGGGTCAGCAGTCGAAGGAGCAAACCCAAGAGCCGCAAGTGTCGTCCTCAGTATATCGTGCCACTCACGCGGCGCCTGGCGGAGACCGTAGACTGGCCACCGGAGGCTCCACTGGGTACCAGTAGGGAACGACCCTGTGAAGCCAGGTGGGCAACGCAACCAGATCTCCTCGTGCAGGCTGCCCTGTAAGAAGGCTGTGCTGAAGTCAAGAGAGTGAAGCTCGTAGTCACGCTGAGCGGTAACGTGCAGCAGCACCTGAAGAGTGGTCATCTTTGGGGTGGGAGAGAAGGTCTGTAAGAAGTCGACTCCCTCCCGCTGACTAAAGCTTCGAGCAACGTAACGAGCCTTGAAGACAGGTAGAGAACCTGGCGGCCGCTTCACCCTGAAAATCCACATGCCATCGACGATGTTCGCCCCAGGAGGGGGAACCTCGTTGACGTAAGTGCATGTGGACTTCCAGGATGCCATCTCTGCGTCCATGGCTGTCTGCCTCTGAGAGGAGTACTCACCGGCGATCGCCTCAGCGTAAGAGCGGGGTCGGGATCTCTAGAGCATACGGGTCTCCCTCAGGGGCAAGCAACATGGCCACGAGATGAGGCGCAGCGGCTGCAAGACTCTCAAAGTCCTCCTGCCTGTCCTCAAGGACGTCCGTGCCAAGAGCACACTCACCACCGGTGGACGGAGGAAAGACAGAGTGAGACTCAGCAACAAGACTAGCGGCGTAGTCTAGACGACAAGCAGCAGCAAAGTCAACTAGCTCAGCAACTAAGCCAGACGCAGCATCAGACTCAAACGACGGGTCAGTGACAACAGTGGCGAGAAGACGCGTGGCAGTAGGGTGAGAAGCACGAGCGTGGTCAGACTCAGGCTCCGGAACGGCAGGCAGAGAAGACACAGGAGGGGACGACAGGGGAACACGCTACAAAGAAGAGGAAGGACGCAGGGCTATGAGGTGCGTGTCGGGGACAGTCGGCGGACGCTCGCGAGGAACACGACAACCAGTTTGACCAGTGCGGACAGTGCGAACAGGCGACACAGGACGAGACGCAGGCTCAAGACGCTCAGCATGACTGCCTGTCAGCTCAGTGTAAGGAGAAGGAGCAGGCAGCGGTGAGCCAGGCTGTAACGGAAGACCTGTAGAAGACGGGAGGCTAAGAACCTGGCGAAGCACGGAGCCAGGCGGTGGGAGAGACGAAGGTGACGGCGGAGCGAAGAACAGTCGCGGCTATTCAGTGCCACCAATACTAGTAGCTCCAGCACCTCCTGCAGCTCCAGCAGCTCCAGAACCTCCAGCTCCAGCGCCACCAGCGCCATCACCCCCAACAGCTCCAGAACCTCCAGCTCTAGCGCCACCAGCGCCAGCACCCCCAGCAGCTCCAGAATCTCCAGCTCCAGCGCCACTAGCGCCAGCACCTCCAACAGCTCCAGAACCGCCAGTACCAGCACCACCAGCAGCAGCATCCCTAGAACCGGCACCTCCAGCCCCAGGGACTCCAACAGCAGCGCTCCTAGAACCGGCACCTCTTGCTCCAGGGCCTCCAACCTCAAAGTCGACAGCAGCACCTCCAGGTCTTGCAGGACCTCCAGCCCCAGCAGCTCCAGTACCTCCAGTACGAGCACCTCCGGGACCAGCAGCTACAGGAAATCAAGTAGAAACACCTCCAGTGGAAGAGTTACCAGCTCGAGCGCCTCCCTCAGCAGGACCCTCAGCTCCAGCAGCGCGACCCTTACGGCTAACGTACCACTCACGCAACTGCTGTGGGGAGAGAGGGACAGCGCCAGCTCCAGTGCCTCCAACCCCAACGCATCCCGTAGCAGGGCCCCCAGCTCCAGCAGCGCGACCCTGACGGCTAACGTACCACTCACACAACTGCTGTGGGGAGAGAGGGAGACGACGACGAGAGTGTATCTGCGAGGCACCAGCGGAGTGAGCACGGAGACGGCCGCTCCAGGGAGACTGCTCACCAGACGCCTCCGCGCCCCCAGGTACGGCACCCCCAGACTCAGTACCCCCCGGCTCAGCACCCCCACGCTCCGCACCCCCAAGCTCCGCACCCCCAGGCTCCGCACCCACAGGCTCAACATCCCCAGAAGCAGCACCCCAAGCAGGGCCACCCTAAGCAGGACCTGAGTCACCAGTGACCTCAACCGGCTCAGTCAAGGGAGGAGGGTCTACCTGAGACACACCTGAGGGAGAAGGACCCTAAGGGGGGAGGGGATCTACCGGGGGAGGACCTGGTGCAAAGAAGAGCGGCGGGGGGGGGGGAAAGGGGCAGTGCGGCAGGGGAAGAGACGGTAAAAGGGAACCGGCTCGTCAAACGTGACGTCCTGAGAGGGGAAGACACGGCGCAAGTTGGGGTGGTAAAACTGCCAACCAAGTTCGTTAGGGACAAAGCCAAGGAAGACACAGGGAACAACGCGGGCGGAGAGCTTGTCCGCAGCGGTATCGCGGACAAAGGCACGAGAACCCCAGACCCGGAACACCGACGCATCGCCAACCTTCCCCGTCCACCACAGTGTGGGAGAGGTCTCCGGCAAGGAGACACGGGGCCAGAGGTTGAGCTGATGCGCGGCGTAGCGGACCGCAAATGGCCACAGAAAATGGGGGGCAGCCGCATGGACCATGGAGGTATGCGCGACCTCCATGACCAAGCCAATGCGGCGCTCAGCAACCCCATTCTGCTGCGGAGAGGCTGGAAGCGTGAAAGTCTGGAGAATGTCCTCCCCCCAGCAAAAGTTTTGCAGAAGGTCGGAGGAAAACTCTCCACCTCTGTCAGAGTACAGATGCAGGACGACAAACTCCGTCCCGAATCGCTCACGGAGCAGGAGACGGGCAGCGCGAATCCAAGGGATCAAAACATCAGGGACCTCACCCTTGGTGCGCAAGGGGAAGACCGTGGTGTAACGCGAATAGTCGCCAACAACCAGCAGGAAGTACCGCTCGCAGTCCTGGCCACTGACGTGGGCTGGGCCCCACATGTCCGTGTGCAGGGTCTGTAGGGGAGTAGTCGTCGGGGGAAACGAGGAAGAGTGAGGAGCGGCGCGCTGCCGCCCCTCAACACAGGGATGACAAGGAGGAGCAGGCAAGGGAGGGGAGGGAGGGAGAACCCTAGGAAGACCAGAGACAAGGACACGGCGGTGCATCCTATGAAGGCACTGCACCGAGGGGTGACCAAGACGGTGGTGCCAAAGGAGGGTCTGGTGTGACAAAGCGCGACACGAGCAGGGGGCCGCTAGCTGACCTGACGCAGACGCAGCGACCTAAGGGGACACAGTAGTCAGTGTGTACAGACTCGAGCCAGGCGCACGGGTAAACGTGGCCAGGTGTCGGCCCGTCCGGGAGCACGTACAGTGGGTCACGCGCTGACTGCCAGGAGTGAACTGGTCAACCCACTGGTCCTGGAGGTCAGCACCACTCACCAAGTTCGTAGAGAACGAAGGGAGGTGAAGACCTGATAGTGAGCCAGACGGGACCGCCGGACACGGCAGGACCGTGGAGGAGTGCGCAAGGACTGGACCCCCACAGGGGTCTTCCAGGGAGACTGCAACCGGCCAAGTGAGCGGGGTGAGGGTGGTGCTGTCGTGAAAGAAGGAGCAGGAAGCACCTGAGTCAAGCGTGAAGGTGTGTAAGGCCTCAGCAGGCGCAGTACTAAAGAGAGCAGACTCACCAGCACCTAGAGCAGTAGACTAACTAGCACCTAGAGCAGCAGCCTCACCGGCACCGAGAGCAGGAGACGCACTAGCACCTAGAGCAGCAGCCTCACCAGCACCTAGAGCAGTAGACGCTATACCTGGGTCAGGCGGTACGCACAGGTAACAGGCACCGTCAGCACTAGTAGGCAATGCATACATGGTAGTGAGGATAATATCTTAGTCAAGAGCAAAGATATCGACCCTCTGCCTAAGCAGCTCCAGCCAGGTGGGGAGCTCAGCCTCGTCGCCAAACTTGGTATGCCAGGCGTCGCTCAGACGGGCGAAGCAGCGGGACTGTGTGTGACCAACCGTCCCGCAAGCCTGACCAGCCCGATCACCTGTGCGAATGACGTACGGGCAGTGAACAATACTCTGAGACCCTCTACTCTGAGCGTACCACTCACGAAGCTACTAGGGCGTAAGTGTCTCGCGCGGACACCGCTGCAGCTGCATCTGGCCACTGCCAGACGCTCCCGACTGACCAGCTCCAGGGCGACTGCCACGACGGCAACCGCCACAACCCCAACTAGCGTGCCACTCACGAAGCTGATGTGGCATGAATGGCTCACGCGGACGGCGCTAGAGCTGCATCTGGCCACCGCCAGTTGCAGCAGTAGTAGTAGTAGCAGCAGTAGCAGTAGTAGCAGTAGTAGCAGCGCGGGCAGTGCGGCTCAGTAGAGCAGGGCGGCACAGCCCGGCAGCGCGACGCGGCTCGGTATGGCGGAGCGGCGCGGCCCAGACGGGTGGCGCGGCTCGGTTGGCAGGCAGGCGCAACAGGCAGGCAGGCAGGTGCTCACCAGAGGCGGTAGGGCCGGCGCTCGGCGGGCGGCGGCACGGTAGGCGCACGATGGCGGCGACGGCGGGGCCGTGACAGCGGCTGCAGGGCAGGGTCGCGTCGATGGCAGGGCAGGTCCGCGACAGCTGCTGCAGGGCGGGGCCGGGACAGCTGAAGGGCGGGGCCGCGACGACTGCTGTAGGGTAGGGCCGCGATAGCGGCAGGGCGGGGCCACGACGGCGGCAGGGGGCTGCGCGGCAGCTGCTGCAGGGCGGGGCTGCGACTGCGGCAGGGTGCTCTGTGTCAGTAGAGCTACACTGTGAGATCCCCGATCGATCCTAGGGGGGGTTACAGGCGCGTTTGCTTGGGGGGTTATGGGCGCACTGACCCGCTACTGAAACAAGCCCTTTTATCCCAATGGTCTAGTGGTTGGGATTCTGACACTCTGCGGCAGCTGCTGTAGGGCAGGGGCGTGACTGCGGCAGGGGGCTCCGCGACGAGCAGGGTCGGCGTCCAAGGGGCGCCGCGACGAGTAGGGGCGGCGTCCAATGGGCACCGTGACGAGCAGGGACGGCGTCCAGGGGGCGCCGTGACGAGTAGGGGCGACGTCGCAGGGGCGCCGCGACGAGTAGGGGCGGCGTCCAAGGGGCGCCGCGACGAGCAGGGACGGCGCCCAGGGGGCGCTGCGACAAGCAGGGGCGACGCCATAGCGGCGCCGCGACGAGCAGGGGCGGCATCCAAGGGGCGCCGCAACGAGCAGGGACGGCGCTCAGGGGGCACCGCGACAGGCCGGGGCGACGCCCTAGGGGCGCCGCGACGAGCAGGGGCGGCGTCCAAGGGGCGCCGCGACAAGCAGGGACGGCGCTCAGGGGGCGCCGCGACAGGTAGGGTCGACGTCCATGGGAGGGGCGCTGTGATGAGCAGGGGCGACGCCGCGGCTCGATGGCGCGCAGGCTGCAGGGGCGGCGTGCGGGCTGCAGGGGCGGTGCGCGGGCTGCAAGGGCAGTGCCCACGGGCTGCAAGGGCAATGCGCGGCTCGGTAGGGTGGCGTGTGGGCTGCAGAGGCAGCACCCACTGGCTGCAGGGGTAGGCACGGCTGCAGGAGCAGCTCAGTCGCAGGGGCAGGCACGGCTGCAGGGGCAGCACGGTCGCAGGGGTAGCATGCGGGCTCCAAGGGCATCACGGCTGCAGCGGCAGCGTAAAAAAAAAAAAAACAAACAAACAAACAAACAAATAGGGCAGGTTGGAACGTTTGGTGGGCCCTAGGAACGATTCTGCTCTAATACCTGGTCAGAATAAGCAGGCGAGAATGAATGCACTAGGAAAGTGCTGGGTACAGGTATGAAACCCTAAGAGGGGCTGTACCCCATATTGGCTACCCCACTACAGCCTAAACATATATAGCATACATATAATTTGACACTCGTGTGTGAGTATGGCCGGAGAATCTGGTGGCCAGACTAATCTGACGGCTAAAACGCAAACCAACCCGGCTGCGACAAGCGAGGAAATGACGACAATCGGGACCGAAGTCCTCGCACAACTTCTTCAGTGACCCACTAGCTTTGAACAAGGGCTCCAAACATTGCGGAATGGCGACGTGGGAACATCATCGCAACCTTCTCAACCGGCCCCAAATGGCCAGAACGCCGCCCCGCACACTTTCTCCCTCGACACAAATGGTTCGACCCCCAAGACTCCCCGTCCCAGTGAAGAAGCAATTCTCTCTGCGCAATATAAAAGGTTTTTCAGCATATCAAAAATAAAGACAAGTGTGTGTTTTGACGGCAGAGACTTCTACACCTGGAGCTTCGAGCTGGTGCTCCTGCTGCAGAACGCTCAGATTTTTCACTACTTCGACGGGAGTTACGCCGAGCCCGCTGAGGATACCGACGATGCCATGACAAGGTACTACAATGAGTCCTTGATGGCGTACGGCATCCTCCTTCGCAACATGTCGCCGGCGGAGCAGTTGAACATTCGTTCATACAAGACATCGGCTGCTCCAGCCCTTGACGCTTAGTGCCACCTGAACGGCGTGTATCAGCCGAAGGACTCTGTCTCTTTGAGCCGGTTGCTCCAGCAGCTGCTAGAAACTAAAATGGCCCCGTGGGAGAAGGCCAACAGCTCGCTGTCGAAGCCTTCGCGACCAAATTGCGAAGCTGGGAAGCTCGATTTCGGAGGAAATTTTCGTCAATATCGTGCTTCAAGGGTTCGGCCCAGAGTGGCGGCCCTGCAAGGCGCTTCTCCGACAGCAGGGGGTCATCTCGGAGGCCGCCCTTTGCGCCGCCCTTCTCGTCGAACAATGGGATATGGATCAGCAGCGACCAGCGCCATGACGAGAACGAGAACGGCTCGCCTTCTACGCCGACAACAACGAAGAGCGACGACCGCGGCGCATTTAATGCAAAATTTGCAGAAGCTTCGGGCATTTGGCGGATCGATGCAAGTCCCGATCTCGCCTTCGCCAGACCAACCCGAACAACTGTTCCGGCCAAATTATCGACCATAGCGTTTGGTCGTAACAATTTTACACGCCCTAAGCCACAATCCGTTCCCGTTGCTCGAACCAAGAACGAACCGCTACCCCATTCTGCACAAGGTGTACAGCGACTTCCTGAACGTGGGCACTGCGGAGTTGACGACAAAATGTATACTCTTACCTTCATCGACGCTGGAATGCACCACGTGTGGGCCACAAATGTGTGTCAGAATCCCAACCACTAGACCATTGGGATAAAAGGGCTTTTTTAAGTAGCGGGTGAGTGCGCCCATAACCCCCCAGGCAACCGTGCCTATAACCCGTCCCTAGGATCAATCGGGGATCACCAGTGGACCTCTGACACCCCCCTGCACTGGGATGCTCGAAGTGCATACACCGGGATTCGAACCCGAGACCTTTCTCTGATACCATGTCAGAATCCCAACCACTAGACCATTGGGATAAAAGGGCTTTTTTAAGTAGCGGGTGAGTACGCCCATAACCCGCAACCGTGCCTGTAACCCTTCCCTAGGATCAATCGGGGATCACCAGTGGACCTCTGACAACGTGGAGTCACGCGACAGAGCCTACGAGGTATTCCGCCTCTGGCTAGCGCACGCGCAGCGGCAGTCCGGGGAGAAGTTGAGGATCTGGCAATCTGACGGCACTGCAAAATTCAGGAGCAAGCAGATGCAAGATTACCTATCGCAAAAGGGGATTGAGCACCACATCTCTCTCCCCTACGCACATCAGGAGTAGGGCGTAGCCGAGCGGACGAACCACACGCTCATGACAAAGGTGCGGGCGCTGATGAAGCAGTCGAAGCTTCCCCCGACCTACTGGACCTATGCTATGCACCACGCCCTATGGGTGCACAACCTGCTGTCAACCACCGCCATCACTGGCAACTTGTCCCCGCACGTGAAATGGACCGGGACTAAGGGGGACACGTCCATGCTCCGCGTATGGGGGTGTATGGTGCAATACCGCCCGCCGACGTCGACCATCGGCAAATTCGCCAGTCGCACGCGATGGGGCACTCACCTAGGCATCAGTCACGAGTACAAGGCGTGGATCGTGCTGGACCTAATTAGTCAGAAGACTGTCCATGCTCGCAATGTAATCTTCTACAAGCGCCTCTTCCTCGACCAGTTCTGCCACGACGAGCAGACGAATGCAAACCGCGTTTACGCA